TATATATATATATTAATTGATTTGACAGCACTAATATATATATGTATGTATATATGTATATATATATATATATATGATAAATAAATAATATTGTGTAGGTGATACTACTCAACCTCGATATGTACAGGTTTAGTCTCTTCCGTCTTGTTTTGAAGTATTGAGTCAAATGATATATTATAATATAATATATTAAATTATGATGTTATGAAAATAATATATTTAGTATATATTATAATAAAACATAGTATAAATAAATAAACATAATCAATAATGTAATTAAGTATAATAATATTATAATATATTATATTACTATGTAAAATACAAATATATTTTGTGATATGTTTTATTAAACTATAGGATTTTTAGATAGTATTTCGTAAAATAGATTATATTAAATTATATAATAAATAATATTATAAATAAATAATATAATTCAGTATTATAAGTGTAATGTTGAGTGTCAGTCTCTTCTGTCTTGTTTAAAAATATTGAGACAAATTATGTATCATTTCATTTAATATTATATTAAATTATGTAATATAAAAATAATATTATATTTAGTATATTAATATAATATATTTTATACTTTTATATATAATATTATATATAATATTAGGGCTCTATTTTGGGTCCCCTTCTTTTTAATTTGTATATGCGTCCATTGGGGGATATTATTAGGAAGCACAATGTATCATTTCATTTTTATGCAGACGATTCACAGCTGTACCTGCCGTTGAAAGCTGGTGATTCAATTCAACCTTTGTTGGAATGCATTGGGGACATTAAGAAATGGTTAGCGCTTAACTTTCTCCAAATTAATGAGGACAAAACGGAAACTATTGTTTTTGGTTCCCCAAAATTGAGGAGCAGTACTATTATGGAGCTAAGCAATTATTTTCCTTCTGTTTCCTCCCAGGTTAGGAACCTTGGTGTCATCATGGACTCAGAATTGTGCTTAACTAAACAAATAAATTCTGTTGTTAGGAATAGTTTTTATCAATTGCGGATTATTTCAAATATTAAATCGTTTCTGTCAGCACAAGACTTGGAGAAGGTTATTCATGCTTTTATTACCTCACGCTTAGATTATTGTAATTCTTTGTATCTGGGTCTCCCGCAGTCATCACTTGCTCGACTCCAGTTGGTACAAAATGCAGCTGCAAGGCTGCTGACCGGGACAAAGAAATTTGATCATGTCACCCCAATTTTAGCGTCCCTTCATTGGCTCCCGATCCATTTTAGAATTCAGTTTAAAATTTTGTTGTTTGTTTTTAAAGCTCTTAATAATCATGCTCCATTTTATATTACTGATCTTCTTACTCCTCTACCACCATCCAGATTAAGATCTGCAGACAAGGCTCTATTATCAATTCCCCGCTCCCGTTTAAAAACTAAGGGAGACAGAGCTTTCTCAGTTGCCGCCCCCCGTCTATGGAATCAATTGCCTTTGGACATCCGCCTTGCACCTTCCATTTGTACTTTTAAATCAAAATTGAAAACATATCTCTATTGCCTGGCGTTTGATACTTGATATCCTGTCTCAATGTTTTGTTTTTGTTTGGTTTTTTATGCTTCTGTGTTTTTATTTATTTATTTTACATTACTTTGTTCAGCACTTTGGATAGCTTCGCTATGGTTAAATGTGCTTTATAAATAAAATTTACTTACTTACTTACTTACTAATATTATATGATATTATATAAAAATAATATAATGAATAATTAAGTAATATAGTTGAGTATAAGTGTGCATATATAAGATACTGTTCTATCCAGAAACGCACCGGTTCGGTCTCTCTTGCGTCGTGTTTTGATCATGTGTAGCTGGAATTGAATGCATTGGGATTAGCCAACAATACATTATATGACTCAAAATTATCGATTTTTCTTTAATGCCAAAAATCATTAAAGATCATGTTCCATGAAGATATTTTGTACATTTCCCACCGTAAATCTATAAAACATTTATTTTTGTGAGTGGTTTACAATCGCGAACATGAATGGACAACTTTAAAGGTGATTTTCTCAATGTTTGGATTTTTTTGCGCCCTCAGATTCCAGATTTTCCAATAGTTGTATCTCGGCCGCATATTGTCCTATCCTGACAGTTAGTGTGCAGCCAAAGTGACTCAGGTGTGTGTCTCCAGGTGAACGACTGCAGTATTGAGGGTCTGCGTCACGCTGAGGTGGTGGCGCTGGTCAAGGCCGGCGGGACAGAGACGCGTTTGCTGGTGGTCGATCCGGACACAGACGAGCTCTTCAATCGCCTGGGCATCGTGCCCACATCTACTCATCTCAAAGGTACACTTTATCACATGTGTCACATGATCCTTCAGAAATCACTCTAATATGATGATTTGATGCTCAAGAAACATGTATGACTATTATCAGTGTTAAAAACAGTCGTACCTCTTCATATGTGTGTGGAAACCGTGATCATGTTTTCAGGATCACTGTAAGTCTTCAGTCCTCACCTTGGGCACCTGGGGCCGGTTTCACAAAGCTATTTTAGACCGGTCTATAGTGTTAGACAAGTCTAAAAGTTGCTCATAGACGAGTCTAATGCGAGTTAGACTGTTTCACAAAAATAAAGACTGACTTAATTTAGACCAAAAACATTAGACACCTCAGGCTAACTTAGGTCTAAGACTCTGTTACCGTGGCAACCAGCAGTAACAATCATTACAAACATTGTGAACGCAGCATATATGTTACCTTGGCAACCAGCAGTAACAGTCAGTTACATTACAAACAGCCGAAAGAAAAGGAAAATTGCCCTTTCCAAATTAACATTTCTTCTTGTTACTGCATTCTCCGCTAAATTTCCCAAGTAAAATGTCCTTGTAACTGTTATATTCCTCCAACAAACACATATTTAAACTGGGGTAAACTGCACTGAGCGGTTGAATGCGCTCACTCGATCCGCCATGTTTTTTGTTTTGAGTAGTGTCTTATTTTACCCAGAATGCATTGCAGTGTAGTCCTACTTTAAGATAGTCAGAGTCTTAAGTGCTTTGTGCAACGGTCTGATATAGATGTCTATCTGAAGTCTGACTATCTACTATATCTAAGCCGTAGTCAAAGTCTATCTGTGTGAAACCGGCCCCAGATCCAGCTCAGCTCTGGCTTTATCTGACAACACAAACACACATATGAAAACATTAGACTCGTTCGAGTTCCTCCCCTGTAACACAGCTCTAATACTGTGTGTGTTTGTCAAGTCACGGCACCTTTATTTATAGAGCGCTTTGTACAACACAGATTCAGTTTCAGAGCAGCTTTACAGAGATAACAGGAAAATAATGCAACAAAGTTTGTTTCTAGAAGAAAACAGCGTCACAGTCCAGCTTAAGGAAGTTCAGTGATGGTTCATTTTTGTTGTAAAAAAGTTATTAATTTAGTTAATTTATGTGTATAGCCACTCTGGAGAAAACCGTGATGTCATCGTCCAGCTGGTGTCAATGCAGGCAGAGCAATAATATTGTTGAATATTAAATTGAATGTTCATAAAACATGTAATAATAATGTATTAAACATGCTCATACATCTGTGTGGCACGTCCAAACTAAACTGGAAAGATGATATTTAAATGCGTTTTTTAACATCACATGACTGGTACTGTTCATTAGAAGGAAAGTTTATGCAAAACATGGCGATGCTCTATGCAAACATTACTAATGTTCAGGGCAAACACTCGCGCTACACAGAAGCCAGTTGCTATATGGCGTGTCATATGTATATATACAATCGATTATGATGACTGTAATTATTTTTCTGAATGATCTCCTTCAAACAGAGGACTGTGTGGACGGGCCGATCATCGAAGGCCCCGAGACGAGCACAGAAAGCCCTGTCTCTGCTTCCCCCGGGATCTCTCCGCCAATCATCAACATCACACTGACCGATCCACCAATCACAGACGGCTCTCCGAGACACCAGAGTCACAGGAGCTCCTGGTCTCGCTCCACGCTCTCCGAGACGAGCGCTGAACTCAGCAGCTTCGACACCAGCAACAGGGTGTGTGCGAGGAACACTGGAACAGCGGCTTTTTTATTTACTTATTTTTTATATATTTGATTGGATACAGTTCAAACGATATTTGCAACATAATACAATATACGTCTCCATTTTGTGTTTTCAGAATGAACAATTCTTCAAAACAAATGTCCTTTTGTGGTTTTAGCCTTCACAACTTTTATTGTTATTATCCTTATTATTATAGTTGCCATAATTATTGTTGGTAACAATTTTATGATGATATATTATTGTTGTTCTAATAATTTATTAATATGGTAGATTAATTTAATAGTGAAAATAGTGTTGTTGTTGTTGGTAACAATAATAATTTAACAGTATGAAATATTATTAATGAATTAACATATATTATTAGTATAGTTGTTGTTGTTGATGATATATAGTAATAACTGATTGCTATGATATAGTATTATTATTATTGGTACCAATTAAATTGGTTATTATTACATTTTTAATTAAGGTTTATTTTAATGTTTCCCATGGCAGAATTTGTCTTGGATAAAGGAGATTCTGTTATAATAATAATACAATATATTATTTATTATTAATGAATTAGAATAAGAATTATTATTATAGTTGTTGTTGATTTTAATAATAGTTTATTGATATATTATTAATTCATTTAATAATTATTATTTATTGTTGGTTAACAATAATTATAATAATAGTAATTTAATAATAATAATATGATGATGATTATTGTTGTTATTATTCATTTTAGTAATCATCATCATCATCATATTAATAATAATTCAATTTTATTTTTAATATTGTATATTATTACTAAATGTAATAGTAAAAAAATTAGCATTGTTTTTGGTAACACTAATAATAATTTAACAATTATAGTTATATTTGTGGTTGTTGATATTAATAATAATAATTTAACAATAAGATATATTATTAATTGTATTATAATTGATTATGGTAACAATAATAATAACAATTTTATAATTACATATTGTTATTATTGATTTCAATAATAAGAATCATACTAATAATCATTTAACAGTATGTAATATTATTAAATCATTAATTTATATATCATTAGTATATATTATTAATATAGTGGTAACAATAATAATAATTTGATAATTATACATTATTATTATTATTAAAGTTATTTATTTAATTTGGATAATTACAATAATAATGAAATTAATATGGTATATTATTCATTTAATAATACAATGTATTATTAATGAATCAATTAAAATAAGAATTATTATAATTATTATTATGTGCTTCACTGTGACTCACAGTACTTTGTGGCGAAAAAATCAAATACAAAACACAAAATATCTATACCTTGAATGCAGAGTTTGTCACTTTGAATAAAAGCGTCAAAATGCGAAATGTAACAATGTGCAAAGTATGTACAGAAGGAAATATTTACTGTAATGTTGCTCATGTTAGCTGAGATTATTAAGTAAAGTAAGTTAAGTAAAATGCACAATATATTTTATTCTCAGCAATCATGCATGTGTGTTTTAAAACTTGTTGTATGTTTTCATAGCTCACAGATTCTGACCCTCAGTCCAGCGATGACGCCCGCCAGCCAAACCGAGATGTGAAATCTGAGGAGCGAGACCCGTTCTGGCAGAGCGGTCTTCAACTGAGCCTGACCGCGGCCGAGGCCAAGCAGAAAGCCCGGGCCAAGCGGGCCAACAAGAGAGCGCCCCCTATGGACTGGAGCAAGAAACAGGAAATCTTCAGCAACTTCTGAGGAGCGCACACATCTGAAAGCTCAGACCAAAGTGTTTAACTGACATGGAGTCACTCAGACCGCCAACGCAATTCTACTAGACAGTAGTTTCCACATTGACAAAATGGGGAAGGAGAGTGAGAAAACTTAGTGACAAGGCAGAAACCGTAAGAAGGAAAGGCAGTGTGAAAAGAAAGTGTCATTGCGATAGTGAAAGTGAGATGGGAACCCTAACTCTAACATGTGGACTGAACATCGAGCTGGGAAGCCGAAGGTAGCAGGTTCAAGCCCCTGAAGAAAGAGGTTATAATCTAGCGCCATCAGCGAATGTGTACAGTAAGTTTGTGTTGGAAGGATGATGAGAAGAAACAACAGTAGACGAGAGAAGGTTCGGTCAGAGATCTTCACACTAGACTCCAGTAAACACTTGTGACTAAATGGAGATCTGAATTGAGATCATCTATTTGCTTAAACCTAAAAAATTTTTTTTTTCTAAATCACTATTAGCAGACAACATCTTTTTCCTTCAGGAAACAGATCCAAAAATGTCAATGACATCATCTTGAACTCCACCGATTTTCAGCCAATCAGATGCTCTCTAGATCTAGAATAAGAGCTTTTTATTTTATTTTTTAAAGAAACGAGCTCCTCCCACACTAAACAAATATTTATTTGTTTGTTTTCTTGTCTTTTTCTCAGAAATGCTGGTTTTATTTTTCCATATGATTCTGATGGTTTATTATTATATTATCACTCGAGAGTATTTACTGTGTGGGTTCAATGTATATGCAAACTAATGAATCCTTAACTTTGAAATCAGTATGAATAACTTAATGCATTTCACAAAGAAAGATTGGGTTCATCAACCATAAATCAACTTGTATAGATTAATATTAACCAGTCTGTTTGAGCAGTGAACTTCAACTGTTTATTTTTTGTTTTTTACCACAATCTACATGGATTTCACAATGAAAAGTGAAACACTGGCTTTAACAGTGCATTAACACGAGAGTACAGAAATCTAGCTATGTGTATTAATAATAATAACGTATAATTATATAATCTGAAAACTTAGTAATACAACAATGTAACTGATTACTGGGGAAAAAAGTCCTTATATTTTCATCTGAGGCATGTATTAATGTGATATTAAGTCAATTTTGTTTCTTGTTAATGTATATAAATTGTTCTCATCTCATGTATGTCCATTTTCACACACTTATAAACCAAAATAAACGGAGTATTTTAGAGAGAAGTGGTCTTGATTTGATGGTGCAACTTCACGGTCTCTCTGCCGGCCGCAGTTCTTCTGTCGCCCGCTAGAGACACACAGTTCATGAAGGGGAAAGAAATGAAACCAGCACTAATCCATCTGATAACTTTCTACAACCCCTTCAAAGCATTTAGGATGTATATTATATCTGTTATGTTTGCAGACAGATGCATGTTTCTCGATAGTAATGGGTTTCCTCTGCTAATCTCAGTAAGTGTGTGTCTTTGTATCTCGTTTACACTTCTTTCCCGTCGTCTTCTCTCACCTTTTATGATCTCTTCATCTTTCTTATCTCTTCCACTTCCATTTTAAAGGACTTTTAATGAGTTACACCGACTGTGAATTCAGCTCCCTCTCACTGATGACGAATTGTGTCCGAGCGGGAAACTGTTGTAAGCAAGAAATGTTGGTCTTATCTAAAAAAAAAATCAGTATTTAATTCATAATTATTTATTTAAGTTTTCAACCATACAATGCAGAGACCGTTATAAATCCCGTTACGTCAAATAACCGTTATTTTGAACTGATTCAGGAGAAACGATTCGCAAACTAAAGCTGTAATTCACTCGACCGTAAGGGACTTTGTGTAGGAGTAAAACTGTGAAGTTAGATCAATATTGTGAATTAAATTATTAATATTATTTATATTTATATGAATAATACCAATAATTTTATAAATAATACGTCGGAATATTACCACACCCCCATTTTGGAACATGGGTAGGCTAGCTGATTCGGTTTGAACCGATTCTTTGAATCAAACAGATTCGTTTAAAATAAATAGGATTTTCCTGAACTAAATCCCCTCATTTATTCCTTAAACTTGTGCACTATCCATTACATAAGTTCCTCAACTAAAAATCTAAATATATCTTTTTTTTTCTTTCTTTCTTTCTTTTTTTACCTTCTGGTGCTGCTCGCGAGGTCCAAAATGACCGAAATAGTTTTTTTTCATGAAATGAATGTAGGCCTAATATATTTTACTTCTATAATGTTTTATTTTATTTAATATATTTGTATTTTTAGGGGATTTTATCATACTAAATTATATTTATTATGATCCATTTATTACCTGTTAATCACCTTTTGAGCATAGATCTGGAAATTAAATTGCCAACTTAAATGGATAGTTCACCCAAACATTTAACTTTTGTCATTTACTCACCCTTAAGTTGTTCCAAACCTGTATGAATTTCTTTCATCTGTTAAACACAAAAGAAGATAATTTGAAGAATGTCGGTAACGGTAACCAAACAGTTGATGGGCCCCATTGATATCCATAGTATTTTTTTTCCTACTATGGAAGTAAATGACTATCAACTGTCTGGTTACCAACATTCTTCAAAGCATCTTTTTTTGTGTTCAACAGAAGAATAGAAACTCAGCACACTGTCATTTAAACACAGGTTTAAATGGCAGTGTTCATTTTTGGGTGAACTATCTGTGAACTGTCGTAAATCTTAAATTTGGTCTGCCAAAAGAAGAAATTTGGCAGATTATTGCTTGAGTGAAAAAGTTAAACAAAAAAAAGTTATAGAACTTTAAGTTTATTATTATTTTAAAAATGCATAAAAATCATGCTGCAACCTTCTGGTCTCTCTCTTGAATCCAACGGAAGTGACTTTAAACTGTAATTCATCGACTGGCCACTAGAGACAGGCTCCAAAGGAGAGTCAATCCCATAGACCCCCATGTTAAATTGCCCAACTTTACAGCAGAAAATAATATGTTTACACCCTGGTACAAAAAGTGGTTTTGGTCTATATAGCTAATTTTTCCCTTCATGACAACTGTGAGGGGGGTGAATTTTTTTATAACTCATCCGTTTAAATTATATTAAGCCTTAAAGTTCTGCATAATTAAGGGCGTGGCCACTTGAGTGACAAGTGGATTGCCGCTGCTTCACTACTAGCCGTTTGTCTACTGTCTGTTAGCGTCACGTCACCTCAGATAATCCCGCCTCTTTGCCCACTTTCGTTTATCCGGGAGTGACGCGCGGCCAAGATGGCGATGGCCGGCTCCGCCCACTTTAGGCTTCAAAAATGCTCTTCAGAAACCTACGCGTGATTTTTTTTCCCAAACCACTTCAGCGGAAATTCCGCCCTGCAGCCGATTCTAAAGTTTTCATTGGTCATGTCAATCACTGTACTGATTGCCTACACCAAACACTGATCCCTAAACCTACCCGTCACTGTAACCTAAACCAATGAAATCGGCTGCAGGGCGGGATTTCCGCTGAAGTGGTTTGGGGGGAAAAATCACGCGAAACCTACGGGTGACGTCACGGACACTATGTCCATATTTTTCTACAGTCTATGATAAAAATACTATTTTTACATTTTATATGAAATATACTGTATTTTCAAAAAAATCATGTTTTACTCTAAAACTGTGAGAAAGTCAAAGCGATAAATTGAAAGCGATTCTAAATTTGAGGTTGATATCTCAAAAAATTTGCTTTCAGTAAGATTTTGTTTGGCCGCAGTACCAGACGCTTCCACTAGATACAATTTGTTTCCCATTAGTTTCCAATGCAATTTACCTTTTCAAATAATGTCCATGATTTGTGTGTGTGTGTGTTTGTTCACATAGCAAACCTTTACCAAAAATCCTTTAAAAAAACAAAACGTAAACATTTTCTGTCAAAAATTACGAACAGCGCCAGAGGGTTAAAAATTTAACCACATTTTTGTTTTGTTTTTCAGAGCACAAGGACCACAGAAATTGTGATCATAAAACCTGGGTAGTCTATTAAACAAAAATTATGCATATTTCAGGCACAAATCTGTGTAGTGGTCATCTTAGCTCATAATTTGCTGCCCTATAGGTGCTCAGACATAAATGATCAATTAAAGATATAAAGTACATTTTTATTTTGGGGTTAACCGTTTCTTTTAAATAGTTTAACCAAGAATTGTGTTTATATATTAATAGTACACACACACACACACACACACACACACAAACTGCTGTTTCTCGTGTGATCTGTTGTTTCTCTTGCATGTGATCAGAGTTTCTTCCTCTTTACAGTGGTTTAGTTAGTTCCAGCCCTCCATGGTTTCACTTTAGTAACGCCTACTGTCGCACCACACACACTTCAACATCTCACCTTCTCCTACTGCGCACACACACACACACACACACACACACACAGATTTCAGCTCGGGTCTCATCGCAAAATACCCTTTACAGCAAAACAAACTCTCTGTAAAAGATCAGCCCCTCTGAAAAGGCCACCAGGAGTCTGACATCTCACTTGAGTTTGTTCTTGTTCCTATCCTCAATTTAATGTAAATGCAAGTTTAAACCTGTTGATGAAACACGATTTCTGTGTGGAAACATCAATACACAGGGTTTACACACAAAACCGCGTGCGTATCCGAGTTCCTGATACTATTTGAATATCTTCTGTTAGTCATCTCGCCATTTGAGTGTACGGCCGATGCACGACGTTTGCACAGTAAAAACGATCAGATACGTCAAACCTAAACTTCCTGCCATTGCTCATCTGTTTCCTGGATGTGGGTTAGTAGTTATGGTGTGCGGTGAGATGGTTGCAGCTGTTTCACACACACACACACACACACACACACACACACACACACACACACATAGATAAGGCTGGGTCATCATCACAGAGACTGTCAAAACACATACAGACAGTCAGTGTGTGATCAACACGTCTGGTGGCTCGTAAACACTTTTCAGATGCAGAATGGTTGGATTTTATTATAAAAAGGTGAGTCTCTACTGTAAATTATATCCATTATAACA